TACTGGGAATAAATATACTGCTTCTATTCTACTATTTCCCCTGGGTCAGGCTATCCTCAGGTTCATAGACAAGATGTAGCTCGAAGAGCTACCAACAGGATCAGGAACTGGCAGGCAGTTAAGGAGGTTGCGGACAGTCGGGTTGTTGGGGTAGAGCGGGTCAAACAGGTCAAACAGGTCAAACAGGTCAAACAGGTCGAACGGGTAGAACAGGTAAACAGGGTACACTAGGTCTGCACTGTGATACTACAGCTCTTATAGAAGATCCTGTAAAAGCCTTTTGCAGACCTCTCCTATGAATATCTACTTTCTACCCTAGTCTATTATGCCTTAAGCAGCTCTGTTTAAGAGAAGGGACTATTCTATAACTCTGGGCTCCAGATATGAATTCCTGGTTGCTAGGCCTACTGAAATGAATAAGATACGGCGGGCGCCTCAGCTGCATGTTAAAATATGATAGATCACATTTACGCGAAGTCGTGTCTTGAAGCAAAACAAACTGCCTTTGCAGAGTTTTCTGCTTCTATCTTTCTATATCTATTATTTGCAGAACAGCTTCAGAATCATGAGTCAATTGCAGTCATCTGGTTTATTTTCAGAGAATACTATCGAGCCTTCTTCTTCCGTTTCTCAGACCTTTACAAACCATGATAATGCCCAAACTGAGATAAGCTTCTCAAGTCAGATCTTTCCTCCTCCCCCAAATCTCGAGATTACACGCGTCGCGAAGAATCGGAAGATTGTCCCATATCCAGCTCTCGTCGAGACGTGCGAAGAACTTAAGGCATATCTAGATATTGAAGGTATGTAGCTTCTTAAGACATCTTCGATCGAACTAATACGATTCCAGGTACTACAGGGCATACTGATATTCTTGCTTACTGGAAGTCCCGCCGTGATCAGTTTCCTATTCTCTACCAGATAGCTAGAGATTTCCTCTCGGTCGCAACCAATGGTGTCAGTGTTGAACGTCTTTTCAACAGTTCTCGAGATATCTGCCACTATCGCCGGAGCCGTCTCGATCCTGATATAATTGAAGCAGTTATGCTTCAAATGTGTATCGATTGTTTTACTATAAGTGAGGAGTATCAGGATATGCTTGATGATCTCAATCCAGATTCGATCATCTTTACACCCAAGGAGCAAGAGGAGGATGAGGTGATTACTACCTTCTATATTAGTGAGAATGAGGATATAGATGATCTTGAAGATGACCCAGAGGATGGGTTATTATCAGAATTAGGAGAACTAGCCTTACCTGAGTCTTCGACTATCACACGTACTCAGGTAGAGATAGAGACCCGGCCTTTACAATTCCTACGCCATCATGATCACCGTCCCGGACAGTATAAAGAATAAATATTCTGTATCTTTTCTTATTTCTTCTATACTAGGTTCTGTAAAAGCCTTTTCCAGAGTGTAGTATACCTCTTAAGGCGACCGGTTGAGCAGGTCGAGCAGTAGGCTATATCTAAAGAATATTACTATGTCTATACTGTAATTAAATATATATTACACTTTGTATATTATCTATGTAAGAAGGATGTATATATTACGAATTAACCTGCGGTTATTAACCTACCTGCTATACCTGACCTTCCTGACCGGCAGGTATAAACGGTTATAGTGACGGTTGTACCTTAACCTGACCTTAACCGTACGGTTAAAAATTTTTTATACCTTAACCTGACCGCCAGGTTATGGCCAGGTTAAGGTTAAGGTATAACGGTCAGGTTAAGCCACTCTAAGAGCTATAGAATAATATTTCTTATTAAAAAAAATAAAAAAAAGATTTTTATTATATATATTAATTTAATATATATTAATATAAGATTAAAAAGATTAACTACTAAATATATAACAATAATTAATAACTTATTTATTTATTAAATTAATAAGAAATAAATTATTATTACTTAGAGTTTTACTAAAACAGAGTATATTATTATTATTAAGATAATTAAATAAGTAATCTAATTAGAGTGGCTTAACCTGATCATTATATCTTAACCTTAACCTGGCCATAATCTAATAATCAGATTAAGATATAAAAAATTTTTAATTATATAATTAAGATTAGATTAAGATATAACTATTACTATAATTATTTATATTTATTAATTAAAAAGATTAGATATAGCAGATAGATTAATAACTATAGATTAATTTATAATATATATATTCTTTTTATATAAATAATATATAAAGTATAATATATATTTAATTATAATATAAATATAATAATATTCTTTAGATATAGCTTACTGCTTGATCTGCTTAATTAATTTTTTTAAAAAATATATTATACTCTGAAAAAGACTTTTATAAAATTTAATATAAAAAAAATAAGAAAAAATATAGAATATTTATTTTTTATATTATTTAGAATAATAATTATAATAGTATAGAAATTATAAAGACCAGATCTTTATCTTTATTTAAGTATATATAATAATTAAAGACTTAAATAAGACTAGTTCTTTTAATTTTAATAATAATCTATTCTCTAGATTATTTTTAAAATTATTTATATTTTTATTTTTTTTAATATAAAAAATAATAATTATTTTATTCTTCTCTTACTTTTTAAATATAAAAATAATTAAATCTAAATTATAATTATTAAATATATTCTAATACTTCTTATTTATAATAAAATAATTAATATATATTTAAAATATAACTACTTTAATTATATTAGAATTAAGACAGCTCTAGTAATAATAATAGATATCTTAAGAATTATTAAAAAAATATTTAATATTAATATTATTAATTATAACCGAGAGAAAATCTCTAGCTATCTAATAAAAAATAAAAAATTAATTATAACAAAACTTTTAATAAATAAGAATATTAATATATTTTATAATATCTAAAATTATATTAGTTTAATTAAAGATATTTTAAGAAGCTATATATCTTTAATATCTAGATATATTTTAAGTTTTTTATATATTTTAATAAGAGCTGGATATAAGATAATCTTTTAATTCTTTATAATATATATAATCTTGAGATTTAAGAAAGAAGAAAAGATTTGACTTAAAAAACTTATTTTAGTTTAAATATTATTATAATTTATAAAAATCTGAGAAATAGAAAAAGAAGACTTGATAATATTCTTTAAAAATAAATTAAATAATTATAATTAATTTATAATTCTAAAGCTATTCTGTAAATAATAAATATAAAAAAATAAAAATAAAAAACTTTGTAAAAACAGTTTATTTTATTTTAAGATATAATTTTATATAAATATAATTTATTATATTTTAATATACAGCTCAGATATCTATTATATTTTATTTATTTTAATAAATCTAATAATTAGAAATTTATATCTAAAGTCTAAAATTATAAAATAATCTCTTTTTTTAAATAAAGCTGCTTAAGATATAATAAACTAAAATAAAAAATAAATATTTATAAAAAAAATTTATAAAAAATTTTTATAGAATCTTTTATAAAAATTATAATATTATAATATAGATCTAGTATATTCTATTTATTTATTTTATTTATTTAATTTATTTAATTTATTTAATCTATTTAATTTATTTAATCTATTTTATTCTAATAATTCAACTATTTATAATCTTCTTAATTATTTATTAATTTCTAATTTTATTAATAGCTCTTTAAGCTATATTTTATTTATAAATCTAAGAATAATCTAATTCAGAAGAAATAATAAAATAAAAATAATATATTTATTTTTAATATTCTAATTAATAATTAATATATAATTTTTCTAATATTTTATAATATAATTAAAATATATAGCTGAAATAGAGCAGTAATTATATATTTTTATATATATTTTTTATTATAAAAATAATAATTTTATAAAAAGCTAAATTTTATTAATATAACTAAATTTTTTTTATTATTTTTAATAAATAATAATAAAACAAATACTAATTTTTTTTTAATTATATTTTTTTAATCTAAAAAGCTTCTTTTTATATATTTTTAAATAATAATAAAAATAGTCAGATTAATAACTATTTAATCTAAGTATATTTTAATTATATTAAAGCTTAAAAAAATATAGTAAATAAATCTTAATATTAAGAATAATTAAGATAATTAATTATCTAATTTTTAGCTATACTACAGTCAGATATAAAAATTTTCTTAATCTAATTATAATCTAGCAGTTAGATATAAAAATTCTAATTAACCTGACCTGACCTGGCTGTTAGCCACTCTAAATCTAATATAGATATTTTTATATATAATTAAAAAGAATATTATATATTAAGATATTTTGATTATATTATATAAAAATAATCAGAATATTATTAAGATTATAGAAAATTTAATAAATTATTAATAAATAAAATATATATTTATCTAATATTATATTATTTATAATTATATTATAAATAAAAAGATTTAAATTATTTATCTATTTATAAAGAATATAATAGCAGATAAATTAATTAAAATATTTATATAAATTAATTAGATATATTTTATTAAAAATTTAAAACTTAACTAGATAAGCAGAAGAATCAGCTCTAATATATTAATATATTTAAATTATTTTAGATATTTAATATATCTTTAATTTATACTTATTTTAATTATTTTAATTTTAAAAAATTAATTATATTTTAAATAAAGAAGAGTAATATAATATAATTAAATTTATAAATAAAAGATTATTCTATTCTAATTTATTAAAAATAAAATATAATTATTCTATTCCAGCTAAATAAGTATATAAATAAATAAATTCTTAAAAAGAATCTATTAATAAATATTAGATAAAAATCTCTAAGTACTCAGAATATTAATATTATAATACTTAGAAGTATTTATTCTATCTATTACTAGCATCCTGCATCTGCGCCTTAGGCTGTGTACAAGTGAAGCATCCGGAAGCCCCTACACCCCTGAGGATCCACTTCACTTATTAAGCAGATTAGTCAGTTGTAAATATTTTTCAAATGACTCTATAGTTGATTACTAGGGGCGGGCCGCTATACCCGATTTTGAATTGAAATGTTAATGATAAATGACCGTTGCAGAAGGTCTCTAATAGATAATGACTTTAGGTAGCTAAGTAAGACACCATTATTGTTTGGACGACGAGTTGGATGAGCTGCATGGTTCCACTTTCAGCTGCTGTTGGCGCATGGAGAATTCCCCAGCAGCAGAATCTTCAGTAAGCTCTTGGGCTCTTTATGTACCTCCATCCAACCCCCAGCTTCGACAGCGATAATCTTGCCGTCGATACAAACTCGCCTCCATCTCTCTTCCTCCTCACAGAACTCAATTCGAAAGCCTTCAATCTGGTCGTAAAACACGCTTTCGTCCTTCACGTGTTGTCCCCCTTTATACGCAGAACTCATAACTTCCAGTACTCTTGTTGGCGACATTGGTCCAAAGTGAATTATCCACAGCCCCCCATCCAAAGGCTTAGATAGAGGGGAGATCATGAAGTCCTTCTCAAGGCTTGATACAAGGGTTGCCAGGACATACATGTGCTCCTTGCGCCCCAGGATCTCCTCACGTCTGTTCTTGGCTTGATTGTCCCATTTGAAGAGAGTGACGGCCCCCAGAAATTTGTGGGTTTCAGCGCCGTTTGAAGGGAAAAGTATTTCCTTTGCGGCTAGCTTGAATCTATCGGCCCCAAATTTGCGATATTCGATGGTATCACTGTCGGCAACCAATGCAGCATGCACACCCCAGCTCGCAACAACACCACCGTAGATCTTGTGGTGGCCTTCAGCTCCTAAGATGTGTGCAATGGATGCTCTTCCACGGCCTTCATCTGTGATGTATCTTGCGCCTGGGGAGAAGTTTGCCGCAAAAGTAGGTATATCTGCTGAGACACCTTGCAATAAAGCCACCAACCCCTTTGCTGGGTACGCTAGCGACCCTAAGGAATTTGCCATAGCATTTCCTGTTCCTGTTGGAATGAGAGCAATGGTTGGAGGAATTATAGTTGTTTTAACAGTACTGTGGAAGGCATCTATGATGTCAGTTAAGCCCCCGTCACCCGACAAGAGAATGATTGTCTGTGGAAGCTTTTCCCCGGCACGCGGGATGAACCTTGCATGACATAGTTCCGTGATTGTTTGCGTTGATTTGGTCTCGTGAAGCTCATATCCTGTGACACCGATATGTGACAGAAGTGGCTGTAGGATATTGCTATAAAAGCTCTGTCCTGTTCCTGTTCCGGATACAGTTGATATAACAATATCTATGCTCCTTGCTTCGGAGCCGGGAGCACAAAGATGATGGGGCATGTGTGTCCACAAGTAATGTGACAAGGACGAGGGTACCGTAGCTAGCTGAACACTGCCGAGCAACGTGCAGGGGCTCCTGGGATCAAAATCCTCATTTCCATCAACTTGAAGGAATAGCAGAATATACACGGTTCCTTCGTACTTTTCCTTGGGTATGATACAAATTATGCTGCCAAGGGCAATGGTAAATTCTTTCTGAGGCTGCTCAGATCTACATCGTAGACTGTCGCCTGAGATAACGTAATTGAAGCACTCGTCATCGGTAGCATCAGCATCCAGGGTGGAAGCCATAGAAATAAAAGTCCTCCCGAGATCTTCGTGGGAATTTGAGACGAAGAAAACTTTGGGGGTGGTATGTTAAAAGACATGCTGTTATCTACCTACCACCTACCTACCTACCTGGCAGTACTTTCGTACTAGTGAAGCGCGCGGTAATTGTTAGCGGGGTAATAGGTACCTTAGTACTACACAGTACAGAGTAACCGACCCCTACACAGCTTACTGCTCTGAGATTATCTATAAAGTAATTCTAATATCTTAAAAGAGTTAATATATTAATATTATCTTTTTTAAAAAGTTATTTATTTTATTAAGTTATATCTTTTAAAATTATTATATTATTTATTAATTATTATAAAATTAAGAATTAAATCTAGCAGATTATTTATATATTAAAATATATTTATAAATCTAATATTATATAATTTATATAAAAATATAAGATATTAATATTTAGATTTTATATTAAATTATAAAAGAGAATTTCTTATAATAATTAAAAATATTTTTATTAAAAATTAAATAAAGTCTAGAGTGGTTAACAGCCAGGATAGATTAATAAAAATAGTTAAGAAATTTAGATAATAGTTAAAATATTTTATAAGAATTAAAATAAATATATAATAATTATTTAATTAATAACTAGATAATTATATAATTAATTCTTAAATTATATAATATACAGATATTATTATAAAATATTTAATAATTAAAAATTATTATATAAAATAAGTCTATAATTAATTAATTATATATTAAATATAAATTAGCTATATTAAATAATGATTAAAATATAATTTATAAATAAATATTAGATTATCTTTAAATATAATTTTAGAACTTGTATTTTATAATTTATTTAGATCTAAATATACTTTTTAAGAGATTGATTTTTAATCTGTATTTTAATTATTAACCACTCTAATAAAGTCTAGAAACTTGTTTTATTATACTATATGTAATTTTTTAATAAATAATTTATTTTAGTTTAATTAAAAATAATTATTTTAATTATAAATAATATACTTAAGAAACTTTATATAAATCAGTTAGGGGAATGATTAAATTAAGCTAATCCAATGATTGACTGTTGATACAGAAGAAATTAATAAAAAAGAAAAAAAATATTTAAGTTATATTTTTTTATCTCTTCTTATACAGTACTATTTCTTATTTTATTTAATTATTTATTTAATTATTTATTTAATTATTTATTTAATTATTTATTTAATTATAGCATATCGAACAAAGTATTTATATAAATATTATTAAATCTTTAAAATTTAAAGAATTTATATAAAAATCTTATAATAACATTCTTCTTTTTATTTTATATATATTTATTCTGTTTTTAAATAACTTCAAGATTTCTGATTTATATATTGTTTTTATTATATAAAAAATTTACTCTTTATATAAATAATAATTTCTTAATTTTTTTATTATTTCTAAATATAGTTCTGCAAATAATCTAATATTTTTATATTAATTTTTTATTAATTTTCTTTTTATTTTTTTTTATATATTAATATAACTTCTTTCTGATTTTTATAATTATAATTAAAAAAGTCAAGCCTAAAAATATCTTTTTTATAATATTTATTTAGTTTTTATATAATTCTATTAAATCTGCTTAGACTAATCTATATATTAATAAGCTTATTATATTTATTTACAAGTTTTCTCAAGAAAAGAGTAAATATATTATTATATATTTTATAACTTAAGAAAACAAGATCTTTTATTAATTATATTATATTAATCTATAAAAAAATATAAAACTTTTTTTAATATAAATTTATTATTTATACTGATTTATTATTTATTATGTAAATAAATATTTATTTTTAAGTCTTATATAAATATTATTAATATATATTATAATTCTTTTCTTATTAGCTAAGAACTATCTATTTTTTATATATAAATATTATTCTTATTATTTTCTATAATCTGCTGCAGTTTATTTTATATATTAATAATATTTATTTTATCTTCTTCAAAAATATGAAATTATTTAAATACTAAGATAGATATTACTCTGAATATAAATAAAAAAATTTTAAAATTTATTATATATATATATTAATAAAAATAAAATAAGATATTAATCTACAAGCACTGTATTGCTTTTTTATATTATTATTAAAAAATTAAAAAATTAAATAAATTAAATAAATTAAATAAAGAAATTTTTCTACTTTTTTTTTGTTATTATCTTTTTATCTTTTTCTATAAGAGATAAATTTTTATTAGTTAGAAAATATTATTAGTTAGTTATTTAAAAAGGTTTTATTAATTAAATAATATTATTAGTCAGTTATCTGAAAATCTAGAGGTTATTTTGAAGTTTTAATTGATTATTAAGAGTTTTAGTTTCTTATAAAGTAGAGACTAATTGTTAAGTTATATAAATATATTTAGTCTATTTAATCTTATATTAGAATTATATTTTATAATTTTTTATATATCTCTTATTCTGAATCTTTTCTATTATAAATTCTTTTTATTATTAATTATTAATTCTGATAATTATACATTATCTGATTTTTAAAATAGTAATAAATTTAATAATATAAAATAAAAATATAAGGGCTTGATTGTATGAGATACTATAAAGAAGATATATCTATCACAAAGTTAAGATAGATATAATATTACTTAAAATATTGTTGCTGATTTGCTAGCTAAATTTCTTATTAATAAAAAGTACTTATTAATAAAATACTTTTTATTAATAAGAAATTTTATATAAAGCTTTTTATAGAAAAGAAAATATATGTTAAAATTCTTTCTAAAAAAATTTAAAATCTAAAAAATAAGTTTAGAATTATATAATTAAATATTAAATAAAAAATAATATTATTAATATAAATAATAATATTTTATATTATTATAGAGTTTTTAGTTAGATTTATAATTAAGCTTTTATTATTTAATATTTTTATATATTAAATAATTCTTAATTCTTAAAAGATTATCTCTTAATAATAATTAATTTATAATATTAAAAAAATAATTAGATTAAGCTAATCTAATAATTAATTATTAATATAAAAGAAATTAATAAAAAAAATATTTAAATTATATTTCTTTATTTTTTTTATATAGTGCTATCTCTTACTTTATTTAATTATTTATTTAATCACAGTATATCAAACAGAGTATTTATACAGATATTGCCAAGCCTTTGGGATTTAGAGGATTTGTATGAGAACCCTATAACAAACTTGTCTCTATTTAAGTTAAGATATTTAAATATTAGATTATATAATATAGATTTTATCTAATAAAATTAGTTTTTTATAATTTTAAAATAATTATTTAAAAAATATCAGAAACAAAATCTATATTTTATTTAATAATTTTAAAATAATTTAAAACTATTATTAATTATTTTTTTTATTTAAAAATTTTAATACAGATTATAAACACTGTATAAATATATTAATTAAGAAATATATAATTATATAATATAAATATATTTTGTTAAAAATTTAAAATAAATTTCAAATTAATATACAGTTATAGTTCTTACTTAATTTAATTAAAAAAGATTTTTAAATATTATTTATAAATAAATAAAGTTACTAGTAGTAATAGTTTTATTTAAATTAATTAATTTAAAAAAATATAATATTATTAAAAAAGTTTTTTATATATAAAATAAAAAAAGATTAGAATTAAATTATATTAATATATATTAAATTAAGAATTAACTATATAATAAGTCTAAATATTTAAAAAATTAAAATAATTATTAAGCTTTATTTTTATACAAGAAATATCTAGTTTTATTAAATTTTAAAGAATTAATAATTATTTAAAAAATTATATTTATTATCTAATTATATTAATATATTAACTCTGTTAAGATATTAATTAGGATTACTCTACAGACAATCTCGGAGCAGTAAGCCGTGTAGGGGTCGGTTATGCACTAAATACCTGCCCAAAGGGAGCTTTTAACAGGCTTCACCCCTTTTGAGCGGATATTATACCGGATACAGTATACCCTTGAAGTACCTTACTCTGTAACTGCTATGAAGTCGCTATTATAAAACTTTTAAAGCACCCTGCCATTTCTGCATATCTCTACAAGAAAAAAAAGCAGGTGCCTACGATACAAAATGTAACTGGAAAACAACTATCATTAATTAGGAGCTGTCTATGATTTGCATGCCCTTCATGGGCTTGGCCCATGTTTATCACTTAGGTTCACTGCAATAAATGTCTTCGGGAGCTTGACCCTAAACATTGATTGATATCTCAGCTGTATTTCGATGAATATGGTAGAGGAAAGATTGCTTACGTGTCAAATCTTGCTTTGAGAGTCTCAATAACTTCTTTCCAATCCTGATGAGCAGTCAAGCTCCTTCTTGGGGCGCAGCCGATTGCATGTCTGGAATCAAGCTGCACATCTAGAGGATCAAAAGCATGACATCCCGGACTGATCGAGATCCGAATTGAATATGAATTGGTCGATGATTCACAATCCTTAGCTTCATAAAGTTCGAAGCAAATCTGGGATAGGTAGTCCAACTCGGGGATGGCGGTTCTGGCAATCTTGGTCTGAATACCTCCTTCAAGAATGCAGTTCAGGAGAGTGTAGATATGGGATTCTTTAGTAAAATAGAAGAATGATTTCGCGTCTGGCGACGCCTGAACCTCTTCCAAGTCCCTCACTATTCCCTGAAGAAGCGGCAAGGAGGTCAGGAGGCCAATTTCTAACTTCTCTGTGTCTGTGATTCCGTACTCTTGAGGAGTTACGTAATCAAAGAGTACCTTGGCTAACTTGTATAGCTCTCTCAGCTTGGAAAGTCTTCCATCCACCTTGGCTTTCGTTGAGCTAGAGCCAGGATACAGTTTGAAATAGTGGTCATAACTGTCATCGAGTGCCCGGAAATGTGGCATTAATTCAAATGCGCGCATACGCCTTTTCCATCCAATTCGATGCGTAAAGAGAGATCCCTCTGTTTGTTCATCATGTTTGTCGTAGGTCATCCCGTCATTGTTGGATCTAGAATCATCCATAGAATCGTCTCTTTTAGGTGTTTTCGAAATAGGGCCGAACTTTTCATCTTCACTCTCATCACTATCAGGTGGCATGAATACCCATTCCAAGAATTGCCGATTGTGAAGTGCATCAAATTTCATGCTGTCGTACAGCTCGGACAATTTACTGGGATCGACCTTTTCAGTATCACAGAATTCGGCGAAAAGTTTCTCCCACCTCTCTTTGAATAAGATAGGATCCTCGCCAGTACACCAGCGTCCTTGTATTGAAGCGAAAGCCTGACTCTCGATGTTCACCTCAGACTGAGATGAGCTTATGTTTTTGTCGTCTATGTCACCTGTTCCTAGTGGTCGGCACGATGATTCTTCAAGACTTCGGAAATTATGCCTCATGACATCCCGATGGAATTTCATCAGCTCAACAACAGTAGCAAGTACGATTGACGGTTCTGGAATATTGTCTTTTGGCCAAGTGAACTGTGAAGGCGCCGATCCTTCGCGCAGAAGAAGCTTTAGCTTCTTCTTGACCTTATCCATGAGATCCTTTGCAGCATTCGAGTCATCTAAAAGATCTTTCCGTATTTGTATAAAGTTTTCTGGGAGCTCCTTCTGGTCAAGAAAAGAAGAAGCCCAAATTTGGGCTACGCCTTCTGGTTAGATGGAACCCAGAAGAACCAGAGTGGTGACTTACCACTTGTGCTCACTCGTCGCTCAGAGCTTGTGAAGATGCGGACATTATTCAGCGCCTCTTTGTTCATTAATTTCAGGTCATCACGCATATTAAGCCCCAAATCCTGTGATTGGTAGCGCGCTGCATGAGTTGGTTCACCCCCCCACTTGATTACAAGTTGAAGTTTGTCCAAGATTAGGTCGTTTTCTGCAGCAGAGAACCTCGAGAACGTTGCGCCGGATATCGAGTCACTTCTCGTCTGTGGCCTGCTTGAACAATCGTTTTCCGAGGGACACTGGGGATTAACAGATACTGAATGGTCCTCCTGATGGCCTTTAGCAAGTGATGTTGTCGGGACAATTGGTGGTGTTTGCCCTCGCAATTCTTCTGGTTTCCGTTTTCGAAACATCGGTTTGATTTGAACCTTCGTCCCTGGCCAGCCGCCTTTCTTCTTGAGGGACGTACGGAGCAATTTCAGCTTGTCCATATCTTCAAGATTTTGTACCATTGCAACCTTGACAGCATCTGAGACACTTGCAAGTGCAGCTTCACCTTTAATGACGACTTCTTCTTGGTGTCCTTTCAGTAAGTCGATGAAAGGCTGGCTATGAAATGTAAATTTAAATTTCTGCTTTGGTGTGCGGTCGGCATGCCTGATGACTGCCACCATTCCTTTGAGTTTCCATGAGTGCTTAGAGGCTGGCGGCGGCGCCCCCTCAGTAGGTAAGTCCATAGGAGTAGAGGATTTGAGATTGTGCGTGGCGTAGATCCTCGAAGACGAATTCTTTTCTATACCATCTGGATCTACATTGCTGCTTCCATTATCGGCTTTTTCACCAGGCGGCGAGGTTATTGATCTCGTGACAATGGATTCCGACGAACCTGTGTCAGGGCTTTTGAAGCCAGCTTGGTTCCCATAGAGCTTTGATGCACTGGGGGATTTCAACAAAGTTTTCAGTGTCTGCCTGTGGGAGACAGAACTCCTCCACGAATAAGCTGGATCCGTATAAACGGCGTCAGAGGGCTCCAAGACCCCTAAACCTTTGCACTTCTCATTCAAGAAGGTTTCTCTCAGGATGTTTGCACATCTGTCGTAATAGTCATTGTTATCTTTGACAAAACTCCAGCCGTTTACATCAATGACATAGCTTTTGTCTCCCACGCGGAGCATATCAAATCCACAAATTCTCTGGCCAAATCCATTCGATATCCTTGAAGCAATGGCTGCCTCCTCTCTGCTCAGTTTAGTGATGTACCTCAGCTCCTTGCCGTGAGTATTGCGGCGAACAAGTCCGTCAACCACAGGAGACTTGCGTGTCTCAGCATGACAAAAGTCCGGCCCAACGGTATAAGCCTTGACATCCTCAGAATTGTCGACCCTCAGGAACCGCTCATATATATAGCTTGTGCCTTTCTCTGTCACTGATCTGGGAACAGCGAGCTCGGGGTCGTATTCGGAGCTTTTGTTCCCGACCTTTCGGAAAAGTCTCCTGCCACCACCACTGTAATGCTGGTCGTTGGGGAAATAGATATGGATGTTGTGGTCTTCACCGTTTACCGGCTTTTCGACAAAAGGTTTCTTGAAAACCTTGCCATCAACGATTAGAGAATCGCCATCATCAGACATCCTCACGTTCATTGTTCTGGAGGCCCCGCCTCCAGTACCGTCACTTGGGCCCTCAAGTTTAACCCCAGTCATATTATATACATGCTCGGCAATTTCGGGTGACTCCAGCGTAGGTCCACCATCGCGGTTAACCTCCAGTCTCTTGGGCGTTGGGACATTCATCTGATCTAAAATCTTCAAACAGAGTCGCCGGTCCCATAATACCTTTTGCATTGGTAAGTCGTTAACACAGAATGGTTTCCGAAGCTTCGCATATGCGATGGCTTTATCCAACGGAAAGCCATCGGAAAAGAATGCGATCAGGAATTCACACACGGGCCAATTCTCTACTGCTTCGTCAAGAATCACTTTGTCACCAAAGACAATTACTTCAAAACCACCTTTGGACTGAAGGCGTGTCAAAATATTCTGGCTGGGTTTGCTGCGAGCTTTAACATCCAAAGCACAGACGCCAATCCTCCCTAGCCTCGGTAATTCAGAGACTTCAGCTTCACTGACAGAGCTTGCTGCTGTGCTCCCACTGAGTCGTCTAGGTGCTCGGCTGGACGACCGTGTGGAAGAGGCCTGGCCAGCATTGCAATTATCCGAAAGTACATCAGGTTTGTATGACTTGACCTGATGGGCGTGTACCCCACTCGGTTGATCTTTTGAAGACCCCGATGTCGTGGGATCATGTTGTAAGCTGAGAGCGCCCTTGTCTGTCTGATCGGATTCAACGCTTGATACTGAATTTGGCGAGTCTATCTTTGCCTCTGAAATAGAATAAATCGGATCCATTGATGACATGCCTCTTTGTTGTAAACAAGAGAAGAGAAAATAAAGGTGGTGAACAAAACGATCTAGAGTTGTTGGGGGGAACTTCTGTGCGGAGGTTCTGGCCGGCGATGGAAAGAATTCACAGGTTCACGGGTGACAAAGCATTATCAATGATGTAACTATACTGACCATTACACAGTTGTCTGTTTGGTGGCATTTTCTCACAATGAGGCCACAGTACATTTACCATGTAATTTCTCTATAACTATGTTTCTTATTCACCGGATTTATACAAGAACATGGCTTACAAAAGTTAAAGCTACCTAGTACCTACTAGGTCTTACTTATTATTGATACCATACTTATATACTTTACTTAGCTGTGTGCATATACATCTGTATACAAGAACAGGCACCTCATTTAATCTTGGAAATAAGTGCGGGGCCTCCACTCTAATTAACTGGTTACAAGTGATAAGCTGTGACTTATGCTTGAATTATCTTCCTGCAAATGATAATAACCAATGAACAATATAGCTTTGCTCTGTACATACTTACTTAGAAATGTATTTAAAAATGTTTTATACAGAATAACTGACCCCTATATAGTTTACTACTCTGAGATTATTTATAGAATAATCCTAATATCTTAACAAAGTTAAGATATTAATATAATTAGATAAGAGATATAATTCTTTAAAATAATTATTAATTTTTAAAATTTTACTAAAACTAGATATTTCTTATATAAAAATAAGATTTAATAATTACTCTAATTTTCTAGATATCTGAATTTATTATATAATAAATTTATAATTGAATATATTCTAATATAATTTAATTATACTCTTTTTTTATCTTATATATAAATAAGTTTTTTTTAATATTATTATAATTTTTGAAATTAATAGAGTGGCTAACAGCCAGATCAGGTCAGGTTAATTAGAATTTTTATATCTAATCACCAGATTATAATTAGATTAAGAAAATTTTTATATCTAATTATAATATAACTAAAAATCAAATAATTAATTATTTTAATTATTCTTAATATTAAGATTTATTTATTATATCTTTTTAAGCTCTAGTATAATTAAGAATTTAAGATATATTTAGATTAAAGAATTATTAATTTAATTATCTTTATTATTATTTAAAAATATATAAAAAGAAGCTTTTTAGATTAAAAAAATATAATTAAAAAAAATTAATATTTTTTTATTATTATTTATTAGAAATAATAAGAAAATTCTAATTATATTAATAAAATTCAGCTTTTTAGAAAATTATTATTCTTATAATAAAAAATTTATATAAAAATATATAATTATTATTTTATTTTAGCTATATATCTTAATTATATTATATAAAATATTAGAAAAGCTATATATTAATTATTAATTAGAATATTAAAAATAAATATATTATTTTTATTCTATTATTTTTTTTAAATTAAATTATTTTTAAATTTATAGATAAGATATAGCTCAAAGAGCTATTAATAAAATTAAAAAAAGATAGATAATTAAGAAGATTATAAATAATTAGATTATTAAAATAAAGCAGATTAAATAGATTAAATAAATTAAATAAATTAAACAGATAAAATAAAGAAATAAAATAAATAAAATATATTAAATCTATATTATAATATTATAATTCTTATAGAAAATTTTATAAAAATCTTTTATAAATCTTTTTTATAAATATCTACTTTCTATTCTAGTCTATTATATCTTAAATAATTTTATTTAAAAAAAACTATTCTATAACTCTGGGCTTTAGATATAAATTTCTATTTATTAAATTTATTAAAATAAATAAGATATAGCGGGTGTTTTAGCTATATATTAAAATATAATAAATTATATTTATATAAAGTTATATTTTAAAATAAAATAAACTATTTTTATAGAGTTTTTTATTTTTATTTTTTTATATTTATTATTTATAGAACAGCTAGAGTGGCTAACAGCCAGGTCAGACCAGGTTAATTAGAATTTTTATATCTAACTGCCAGATTATAATTAGATTAAGAAAATTTTTATATCTGATTATAATATAATTAAAAACTAGATAATTAATTATTTTAATTATTCTTAATATTAAGATTTATCTATTATATTTTTTTAAGCTTTAGTATAATTAAGATATATTTAAATTAAATAATTATTAATCTAGCTATCTTTATTATTATTTAAAAGTATATAAAAAAAACTTTTGAAATTAAAAAAATATAATACAAAAAGAAATTAATATCTTTTTTATTATTATTTATTAAAAGTAATAAGAAAGTTCTAGTTATATTAATAAAATTCAGCTTTTTATAAAATTATTATTCTTATAATAAAAAATATATATAAAAATATATAATTATTACTCTATTTTAATTATATATTTTGATTATATTATAAAATACTAGAAAAATTATATATTAAATTATTAATTAAAATACTAAAAATAAATATATTATTTTTATTTTATTATTCTTTCTGAATCAGACTATTCTTAGATTTAGAAATAAGATATAGCTCGAAGAGCTATTAATAAAATTAGAAATAAATTATAAATTATATATAGAATAATTGGAAACAATAGTTAGATTATTAGAATAGAGCAGATTAAACAGATTAAATAGATTAAATAAATTAAATAAATAAAATAAATAAATAAAATAGATAGAATATACTAAATCTATATTATAATATTATAGTCTTTATAAAAGATTTTATAAAAACTATTTATAAATTTTTTTTATAAAGATTTATTTTCTATTTTAATTTATTATATCTTAAATAATTTTATTTAAAAAAAACTATTCTATAACTCTGGGCTCTAGATATAAATTCTTATTTATTAAATCTATTAAAATAAATAAAATATAGCAGATATATTAATTATATATTAAAATATAATAAATTATATTTATATAAAATTATATTTTAAAATAAAATAAACTATCTTTGCAGAGTTTTTTATTTTTATTTTTTTTAATTAAAAACTTAGAAACTAGTTCTATAAGTTATTATCTTTATAAAAATTATAAAAAGAAATTATTATTAATTATATCTAAATAAATAATTAATCAGATACTAAGTAAAGAACTATTATAAATATTTATTTATTTTTTTAAAATAAATTTTTTTAATTATTATTTTTCTTTAGATTTTTATAATTTATAATAAACAGGATTTTTTAAAATTAAGTTCTATACTTTATAATCGCCTGTTATTTATTATTTTAAATTATTAAATATATTTAATTTAAATAGATTATTCTTTATTAGATAATTAGAGATTTTTTCTTGATTATAATTAATAATATTAATATTAAATATTTTTTAATAATTTTTAAAATATTTATTATTATTATTAAAGCTGTCTTTATTCTGATATAATTAAAGACTAAGGTAATTATACTTTAAATATATATTAATTATTTTATTATAAATAAGAAATATTAGAATTTATTTAATAATCTTAATTTAGATTTAATTATTTTTATACTTAAAAAATAAGAGAAGAATAAAATAATTACTATCTTTTATATTAATAAGAATAAAAATATAAATAATCTTAAAGATAATTCAGAGAATAAATTATTATTAAAATTAAAAAAATTAGTCTTATATAAGTTTTTAATTATTATATATATTTAAATAAAAATAAAGATTTAGTTTTTATAATTTTTATATTATTATAATTATTATCTTAAATAATATAAAAAATAAATATTTTATATTTTTTTTTATTTCTTTTATATTAGATTCTGTAAAAGTCTTTTTTAGAATATAATATATTTTTTAAAATAACTGATTAAGAAGATTAAGCAGTAGATTATATTTAAAGAATATTATTATATTTATATTATAATTAAATATATATTATATTTTATATATTATTTATATAAGAAGAATATATATATTATAAATTAATCTATAATTATTAATTTATCTGTTATATCTGATTTTTCTGATTATTAGATATAAATAATTATAATAATAATTATATTTTAATCTAATCTGAATTATATAATTAAAAATCTTTTATATCTTAATCTGACTGTTAGATTATGGCCAGATTAAGGTTAAGATATAATGATCAGGTTAAGCCACTCTAAGAACAGCTTCAGAATTATAAATTAATTATAATTATTTAATTTATTTTTAAAGAATATTATCAAGTCTTTTTTTTATTTCTCAGATCTTTATAAATTATAATAATATTTAAATTAAAATAAATTTTTTAAGTTAGATTTTTTCTTCTTTTTTAAATCTTAAGATTATATATATTATAAAGAATTAAAAGATTATTTTATATTTAGCTTTTTAAAAAAAGCTTTTTATTTTCTAAAATTAATAATAGAAGATAATCTTTTCTAAAAATTATATATAAACTTAAAAATCACTATTTTATTTTAATTAGAAAAAGTTATTAATAATATAAAACAGCTTTTAAAAAAATATATTATTTTTTAAAATCTTTTATATTTATTATATTATATATTTTTATATTTTATAATATTTAAAAATTAAAAACTCAGAAACTAGCTCTATAAATTATTATTTTTATAAGAATTATAAAAAGAAATTATTATTAATTATATCTAAAAAAATAATTAATTAGATACTAAGTAAAGAGTTATTATAGATATTTATTTATTTTTTTAAAATAAATTTTTTCTAATTATTATTCTTTTTAAATTTTTATAATTTATAATAAACAGAATCTTTAGAATTAAAGTCTATATTTTATAATTATCTATTATCTATTATTTTAAATTATTAAATATATTTAATTTAAATAAATAATTAGTTTTACTGCTTTATTTTTTTACTAAAAATCAAGTTTTTTTAATTAAATATAAATTAAAAAATATTTTATAAAATTATTTAAAAAAAATATATACACAGCTGCTATTAAAATTTCTAAATATTAAATAAATATTAATTATAATAAACTATTAGATTAGTTCTAATTAGAAAGTATTTTTTATTTTAATTAAATATTTTTTAATAGAAAATATAAATTATTATAAGATTATACTAGACTTTTAATTAATATCTAAATCTTATATTAATAAGAATCTAACTATAATTATTCTATTAATTTCATATAAATATAATCTTGTCTGTTAATTATTAGATATAATAATTAATAATATTAGTAATAATAATATAATATTTAATATAATCTTAGCTAAATTTTAAACTTAATTTAATTAGAATATTTAGT